TTCTTTTTGCAAAAATGCAAGATAAGCATTTGATAATATCTTGAAACTTTACTAATATATTTTCTAATTAAGTTAAAATAAAAATCCATTTGAATTAACCGGAAGAATGCGGTTCTAATTTTTTACTTGCATTCCCGCGTTAATCCCTGGAGATAAGTGCGCGATACAAGCGATAAGTAGTAAGTCTCTTTCTTAAGTCGGGGATAATGTTGCGCAGAAAAAATGCACATATCCCGAGAATTGCGGCAATATGTGTTGCAGCCTTGGCGGCTCGTACAGCACAAAGTGCAGAATTAAGTTCGTCTATAAAAATCCGCTTAAATTGCCAGGTGTGACTGCGCGCTGCCATTTGCGCGGTTTCCGCAACCCCAATCATAATTAGGCCGCGGCAGACACGATAACTGTAATGACGCGGTAATAATAGTGAGGAAAAGTTGCGAGGAGAGTCGTTTTAGGTGTCGATATTTTCTACCCTTCGTACGGCGTTTGCCTTCAATTTTCCCGCGTTTTTTCCCTCCGTTTTTTCGGTTCAACGTCCTATCCTTCTATGCAAACTTCTGTACGTCATTAAATGCCAGTGTTGTGCTTAGATGATGATAAGCTAAAATTTCTTGGATTATTCCGCAAAAAAAATATTTTGTTAATTGAAGATATAAAAATACTTAAATTAAATACAACATATTAAATCTAACAAAATATGTATATATTTGAGTTAAATACTCATTAATGTTCAAATTACATAATGCTAATTTAGTTGAAAGATTTAGTCAAGTTAACACATTTTTTTCAGTGACGTTTTATACCGATCAGTTTATTTCAATGCGTGAATCATAATTTTTTCTAAAATCTTCTCGATTTTTTCGATGATGATAAGCTGAAATTTCTTGGATTATTCCAAAATTAATTAATATTGATCATTTCGACTATTCCGAACACGAAAAGATTTTATATAATTATATGTATAATTTATGTATACTCAAATATTTCATATACTGAAAAAAGTTTTTGAATTCAAATAAATATTTATTTCAATATTCCTTTCTAAATTATTTATTTAAAACTAATAATGTTGTTTTAATGTGAAAAGATTTATTTGATAAAGAAAAAATCCTTTTTAAAACAGATAAATATTTATTTATCTGAAAATTAGCTAGATAAAGATGAGATAAAAATATGTAAATTTTCATCTTAGATACACAAGGATGATTTTGTTTTAAATATATCTAGATAAAAGATAAAATTGTATGACGATTCATCTAGATAATAATTTTTAAGACTGCTTATATAAACACAGTTATAAAAAAATATAAATTATAAAAGGGATATAAAAATATATGTAAGTATTTTTATGTGCTATATGATTCTAAATCAAAATTATCTGAAAATTATTCTAGATAACCCGTACAGCACAAAATATTAAAAAAATTTTTTAAATATTTCTTAAGAGATAAAATAATTCTCGAAAATATTTTTAAAATATTTCTGCCTGCTTTTTCATGTTTAAAAAATATTTTCCGAAATATTTTTGAATACAGATTTAAACTAATATTTCAAAAATATGTATCAAATATTTAAAAAATATCTGAACGATAAAGAAGAACAGTTTTAAAAATATTTTTAAAAGTTTTTTAAAATATTCTAAAAAATGTTATCACAAAAAATTTTTAAATCATTTTAAAATATTCCTAAAACCATTTTAAAATGTTTTTATGCAATATTTTATAGAAATATTGAGAAATATTTTTTGAAAACATTCATAATATTTTGCGCTGTATGGGAATTTAGTAAAAATAATCCTTTTTTTTATCTAAGATATGCAGATATAGATAATACATATTTTTGATGACGCTAAAGTTTCATCTAGATGGTTATCTATATAATTTTATTTAGATAACAGCAATATTAATCATGTTAATCGCGATGTCAAATGTGTCATAATAAAAGATAATATGTTAAACACATTAAAGATATATATTTTAAAGGCTGAATCAACAAAACTCATTCATGCAGATGTCAGAGATAAGAACGACTTTAAATAGAGAGAATACGACATAGTAAAATTGTGTCTTTTACTGTATCAAATTATCTGCTGTTCTCTTAATTGTCTGCTGTTGAAAATGAAAAGATAAGATGGCATTCAATGAGTTTCATTTCCCTCATTAATTGGATTAGACTCATTGTTAGAGTGTGAGTTGATCGATTTCTCACGTTTCTAAACATTATTGCGGTCAACTGACACACTTTCAATATTCCTACCTAAGCGATTTCTTCAATACTTTTTCTCTCCTTTTATCAGATTATCGGAACAACGTTTATCGTTGATTTACTTGGATGTAATGTAAAGTCGTAAAAAAGACAAAAAAATCGCAATGTATTAAAAGTTGTGAGTTTCATATTGGCAAAGAGGAGCGATGAAAAAGAGTTCATTAGCAAATGCTTTAATCCGAATAAATTTATTCATATTTTCGATACGCGGTATTCGATAAGCAAATCTATTATAAAATTGCATATATACATATATGTATACAAATTTGTGTTACAGAAAATCAATTACTGTAAAAGTTTAAATAAACAGCATACATTACATTCTATATTCCAAATAACTGCAAATTAGAACTTTATTAAATGTGTAAAATATTTTATTTTAATATAATTTTATTTTATAATTATTATACTTTTATTTTAATTATTTAATAATTATTATTCAAATGCGTAAATTAAATATAAATCCCAGATATGCATTTAATTCGAGAAATTTTGTATAAGAAATGTGACATTAAAATGTATTACTTTTTGACATTTAAAAGAAAATAATTATGAAAAAAAATCTCTAGGAACATAAAATCTAAATTTTATAATTATTATACTTTTATTTTAATTGTTTAATAATTATTATTCAAATGTAAATTAAATATAAATCCCAGATATGCATTTAATTCGAGAAATTTTGTATAAGAAATATGACATTAAAATGTATTACTTTTTGACATTTATTATTTTTAAAAGAAAATAATTATAAAAAAAATCTCTAGGAACATAAAATCTAACATATAATGTTTCGTAAAATTCCAAATTATACATAAAAATATATATATCATATATGTATAACATCTGTGTTTGTTGTACGGATTAGCATCGTGAGGTCATTGATTAAGAAACAGTCATCGATACTGTAATCGACACGTCATCTCGTTCAAGTAAAGTTGTAAGTCACAAATAAATTAAAATATAAATATATTTACAGATTTATTTACATATAAAATAATGCATTGCAGTTTATTTCCACTTTTAGAGAAATCGATTTTTTGCAAAACGCATATTTGTAATTTTACAATAATAGATTCATTAAAAAAAATACCATATCGCAGAAATAGTATATGGCTAAATTTGTTATTTATTTACTGTTAAAAAATTTGTCAATTAATTCTTTCATATATAATTCATTCTTATTTGATCAACAGATCATCGATCACTTTTAGAAATTAATACGCACGAATATTTAAATTTCGGTCCAATTTTTTTCTCACAACTTTATAAGATGAAAAATTACGTCACTCTTTGTCAGTTTTATTTCGGTGAAATTCAATCTTAAGCTGTTTGAGATAACGATTTTTTTATTCTCTTTGCTCATGTTATCTATCTGATTGTGATGTATCTATCAGATTACAAGAGACTAGAAATTAGCCTCACTACTTTAATGACATAAGAGACAGTATATCGATTAATTATTCATGTCAAGGCGTTAGATGCGCATATGTGAAATAAAAAATCTGTCAGATCTGCGATTACGACAAATTGATTGCAGTTCCGTTAGATAAGTCAAGATGCACGATTATATAGATGAGTAATAACAATTAAAGCGCGGATGTGGAGATCTTTTACTATTCTGACACGGGTCAGTTTTTAATGATCCATCATCAAATGATGATGATTGTCTTCGTTAATTGTTATTGACTGCCCGTCGTAATCCAATTAATCTTGTCATAGTATGCGTTTGTGTGCACGGAATGTCCGTTATTGCGAGAAACAATTTCTTGTCAGAGCACGAGAGGTGAAAGAAGTAGCAGAATAGGTGAAAGGAACAGGAAAAAGATTGGAGAAGGGAGATTGTTTCTTTTTATAGGGGAAAATGTGCAATCTCTAATATAATGCGCGCAGAAAATTTTATTTGCAGAATCCACGCTCTGAAATAAATTTAATTAATTCTTAGAAGTATATATTTATTTGAATACTGCCAAATATTTTTTTGAAACAATTTTTATTTTTAAAACGATTTATTTGAAACTAATAATATTTATTTGATATGAAAAATATTTATTTGATATAAGAAAATTTTTGTCAAAACAAATAAATATTTATTGAATTAAATATGTATTAATTTAGTCATTTTTTAGAAACATTTGTTTTCTTGTTAAAAACGGTCCGTTAAAAGTTTTGTGTTAAATATTTTTAACTTTAACATATTCATGTGTTAATTTAACATATTATTGTTCTGTTAATCGAACTTAAATGTTAAATTATTTAAAGATCGGAAAAAATGTAAAAATGACACAATGTGCATCTATTTTTAATTATACACAACAAATATGTTTTGCTTTATTAGTGGCAACATTTATCTGTTAAAATTTACAGAAAAATGTTAATTTTCTATTTTATAATCTAAGTGGGGATGATAAAATCTAACATTAACATATCTTTGTAAATTTTTACATTAAAAGTATGTTAATTTTTTTAAACAAAATTTATTTTAAATTATTTGAAGTTTTGCATTTATTTTGTGTTAAAATATTAACACAATATTTGTGTCTCCATTTAACATATCCATATTATGTTAAATTAATTAAATTTTTCAACTGTGCGCACTTCTTGAGACGCGTTTTATTTATTCACTAAAATTTATTGGATAAAATTAATAATGAAGGTGTAACAAATAGATGATCGTTAATGATCATTATTTTTTGACCTATCGCATTTACTTCTTTTATCTATCCTTGTTACAGATATTACCGAAAAAGTAACTTAAGGACAGGGCAAGCAGGCAGTGATATGAAGGATACGAAAACCAACGAATATGGTACGTTGAAAATAAATTCTAACAATAAGAATAATTTATATTCACTGAAAAAAATTTAGTTAATTTTTATACACTGTAAAAAAATTTATTAATTCGACTAAATCTTTCAACTAAATATTATTTTGTTAATTGAACATATAAAAATATTTATATCAAATGTAACATATTAAATCTAACAAAACGTATATTTGATTTAAATACTAATATATGTTTAATTAACAAAATAGTGATTTAGTTGACAGGTTTAATCAAGTTAACAATTTTTTTTCAGTTTATAATAGGCGCGGCCGTGCTTTTCAACATTTTGACATCTTATCAAAAATTTCACACCAAACACCCATTAATAATAGAGTACTTTTTGATATTTTGCAGAATTTAGCAAATAAATAAGGAACAAAGCCGTTCTTTAAGTTAATTTCACGCACTGAAAAAAATGACTAAATTTAATACATATTTAATTCAATAAATATTAATTCGTTTTAAAAAGGATTTTCTTATATCAAATAAATATTTTTCATATTAAATAAATATTATTAGTTTCAAATAAATAATATATTTGACAGTATTGAAGTAAATACTTATAAGAATTGACAAAATTTGTTTTTCAGTGCGTGGATTCTGCAAGTTAAATTTTAATCGCAAATATAAACGCGATGGCGAAATCTCAGTGATCAACTGATCTATTTTCGCAACAATCGTATTTAGATTTGTATTAGAAGAACTTATCCTCGAAAGAGTCTATTCTCGCGAACGTCCTCAAAAGACTAGATTTATTGCTCGGATTTATTTTGGCACGAAACATGCAACAATCTTGGGATAAATCTGTATCGTACGACGGAGACATGACAGATTGAAAGGCGAGACTGACCTTTCGAGTTTCCGAAGAAGGATGTCGATGTAAGTCGGAGATCGAAGGTTATCTTCTTGATGTCTCGAGGTCTTAGTACGCATTTTATGGTTCACACGCACTGTCTAGCGTTTTTTCCTCTACCAACTGGTTTTCTCGTTATTTACTGCAGTACATAGTACAATTTGCGAATTGTATGCACAGAAACCCTCGGCCCTTGTATCATCTCAAGCGATTATTACCAATTATCTTATATTCATCGATAGCCGCGCGAAATTCGTTCCTAAATTTGCTTGCATGCATGTGAATGCTTATAAATAAATATAATAAAAAATAGCAATACAATAAAAACAGTAATAAAATAATAATAATTACTATCATTAATTATATTATTATTTTTATTAGTATTTATATTTTATTTATATTTTTTTTTTCTCATGAGAAAACACCATATCATACAGAACGATAATTTATTTAAAAATACCCGAAGAAAATTTTCTCTTAGAATTTATCTTGAAGAAATTCATGATATGATATGACATTGAGAGAATTTTATAAGAGTTTCTCTGATTAACATTTTTACCAAACAATAAAACATTAACATCCACCACAATAAGATATAAAATATATGTTCGATAAGGTATAAAATATAAAATATGTTAATTTTATGTATATAGTATTTAGTTTATCACGTATATAATAAAATTAATCAAACATATTTTATATTTCATTATAGATGTTAATATTTTTATCAACTCAGAATTCTTGCAATATTATATTGTTTCACGATTACAATGATTTTCATAGGATAAATTCTAAGAGAAAATTCTCTGTCTATTAATATTAAATAAATTAATATATGAATATTAAAAATCTTTTCGCAATTTCACACAAAAAGAATAAGAAAGGGGATCGTTAATTTTTTTTCGATGATTTATCAATGTTTTAATTCCTTAAATTTTCAGCGATAGAAATTTCATTGCGTATTGTAAATTTTTAATAATATATAACTTTATAAATTATATTTTTTAGCTAGCTCAGATTACTCATTACTCAGGAATATATGTAAGAATATGTTCATCTGACAATGAGTATGAATATTTATGAATCATTTGTCACATGCGAGGTTGAATTATTATGCAGACGTGCCTGACAATTGCAACGAATCGATGATTTAATTTCGAGTATATGGTATACGCTGAGGAAAAAAAATGGCAATTATTATTATTTTTTTTTACATTTATAATGAACTCTTCTTATTAATCCGTTTTAGTAATTCCTTGTTAGATTTCAAATGCGCGATTGTTTTCATACAATTATTCTCGCGTATTATCATGATTTTCTGGAAATTTCATTACACGTCGTAAATTATCAGCTGTGCAAATACAACTTGTGTGAACATATATGTATATGCAAATGTGTGAATTTTCCATACAAATGCGTGTTTCACGATAAACTATTTTATCGGTCTAACAAGGAAAAATCTGTCCGACTAATTATTACGACATTCTATTGCTCTCATTATCAACATTTTATTAAAGTTGTCATTAACATGTCTATCCGAGAATCAAATTAAATGTCTACACTAAAAAAGTTTGTTAAATTAACAAATATTTAGTTCAATACGTTCAAATAAATTATTTATTAAACTCAATATTTGTTAATTTAACAACTTTTTTCAGTGTATGGAAAAAAGCAGTCTTTTGAAAAGATCAGTTATACTTACATTGTAATGTAGGTGCATTGATTTTCTTTTTTTGGGTTTTTTTTACAAAGATCGACGACCAATTATGCACATTAATTATTATTAGATGAGGCGTAGTTGGCGCTCAATTATACAAAATCAATGGAGTGATAGATCAATGCATATGTCATCCATGCACGTGTATCTTCACTTATTGTATAACGCAATGAATTTATAATCAGAATCATAACTAATGAGCGCAATTAAGTCTGATGCGTAACAAAGAAAAATTGTTGGAAAGCAATATATCACGGGGACATACAGATTCTGCGTATGATAACAGATTTGCGTCATGAGAAGAACAATAAGACAATACATCTTGTGATTATTAAATATCCTGTCAAAATTTTTTCCCTTGCTTGGTTTTTAATACGAGGAAATATGAGAACAATTAATTTACATCTCTCTCTCTCTCTTCTCTCTCTCTCTCTCTCTCTCTCCTTATATATACAGGGTGTTTCAGGAGAAATAATAAGCATTCTAGGACATGATTTGTATACGTCATTTTAAACAAAAAATTATTAATACACATTTATAAAATTCCCTGACAATTTCAGATTTATAAAATTGTCCAACAATTCCAGATTTATAAAATTTCCTGACAATTCCAGATTTATCAAATTTCCCGACAATTCCAGATTTATAAAATTCCCTGACAATTCCAGATTTATAAAATTCCCCGACAGATTTATAAAATTTCCTGACAATTCTAGATTTATAAAATTCCCTGACAATTCCAGATTTATAAAATTTCCTGACAATTCCAGATTTCTAAAATTCCCCGACAATGCCCGGTTTTCCAGATTTCCCTGACTGCTAGACACCCTATTTACTATGATTTTCAAGGTAAATTCTAAGAGAAAATTCTCTTTGCGTATGAATGTATGATGCAGATCTTGTTAAATTGCAGCGAGCGTGAACGTCAAGCAAGTTTCCAACGGTAAGGAGGATCATGTCGATTCCGGGGCGAGTGTCGACGCGGTGCAGATCGCAATCGGCAATCTCGGGAAATGGCAGATCATCGTCTGCCTGGCGATTTCTCTGGTCAAATTTCCGGTAGCGTGGCACCAATTGGCGATCGTCTTCATGGCGCCTCATCAGGATTACAATTGTACGAAGCCCGCCACCGTCGATTCCAAGGATCAATGCATGGTCGATTTTAACGGCACTCTGGCGAAGTGCACGGAATGGGAGTACGACAGGAGACTATTTCCCGAGACTATTATATCGCAAGTGAGTCTCTTACTTTAAAAGCCTTTAGTTTGTAAATGCGAAAAATAGATGAGCGTGTTTACTTCAAAGTTATCTATATTATCGTGAAGAATGAGGGAAAAAACTCAAGCTATATATTGTGTTCGTTTCAGTGGAATCTAGTCTGCGATAGGACGCATTACGCGAATATCCAACAGTCTATACTTATGTTTGGGGTGCTGCTCGGCAACATTATCTTCGGCACCTTGGCAGATAGGCAAGTCCATATAATGGCTAAATTATTTGTGAAATCGTGAAATAAAAGAAGAAAATTAATAGTATCTTATATACAGGTATGGTAGAAAAATTCCGCTCATGATTTCCATTGTTCTCCAACTATTGTCGGGTATTGGATGCGCGATAGTTCCTTGGTTTCAAGTATTATTGCTGATGAAGCTGTTAAGTGCCTTAGCCACCGGAGGCACAATGGTTACTAGTTACGTTATCTGTAAGTGTCTCGATCCTCAAATATACGAAGCTATTATTCGTCAAGACTTTTTCAACGATAAATAACAAAATAAAATTTAAATATGCAATTAGCTTCGTGCATAATCTTTTTGAATGCTATATTAAAACTAACAATAATACAAATTATCTTGTTTTTTAAAGTCTTGAATTATTATTGTCTATCTTTCTTTGCGTGTAAATTAAAATAATTACACTTAAATAATTTGTTAACTTGACTTAAATGAACATATAAAACTATATAAATTAAATATAACATATTAAATTCAATAAAACATACATTTGACTTAAATACTAATATATGTTCAATTAATAAAATGATAATTTAGTTAAAAGATTTAGTCAAGTTAACAATTTTTTTCAGTGTAGCCATCGCAATTTATCCGCACAAGCGATACAGATTGCAATCCGTTTGTACAATTAATTTCTCCAAAATTATAAATAAAATATGAATAAAAACTAAATAATATATGTTTCAGGTATGGAAATAGTAGGTACAAAATGGCGTGCCGCCATCACCGTCTTATATCAAATTCCATACAGTTTAGGCCACATGTCGCTAGCAGGACTCGCATTCTGGTTTCGACATTGGCAGCATCTACAAATTGCCATTACACTTCCATCTATAATTCTTTTAAGTTATTGGTGGATAGTGCCCGAGTCGCCGAGATGGTTATTAACCATGGGAAAGCAGAGAGCAGCTTGCAGAATATTGCAGAGGGCGGTCGATGTTAATAAAGTGAAAAATGTGGATATTCCCGAAATAGTCAGAAAACATTGTCTGCATCAAGTAAGAAAAAATCGTTCAAGATATTTCGAAGAATCCAGAGGATCCATATAATAATGATCGCGACAATTAAATATGTATAACTCAGAGTTCAAATGTTGTTGCGCGAATATTCAGTGAATATTAATTCGCGCTTTTGCATTGCAGAATTTGAAGAAATCCGCGCAGGACCACAAGGCTTCGTTTCTGGATCTGTTTCGCACACCGAACATGCGAATAAAATCCCTCTCGATATTCTTCAATTGGATCGTTTGTGGAATGGGTCTGTTTGGCATGTCGCAGTACATCGGTCAGGTCGGTGGCGATATTTTCATTAATTTCGCACTGTCCGGTGCTATACAGGTTCCAGGAAACTTTGTCGCGTGGTGGGCAATGAATAAACTGGGTCGACGAATCACTCTGATCTGCAGCAATTCCATAACTGGCCTGGCCTGTTTGCTCTTAATCGTCGCGTCAAATGGTAAGAAATTGTACTATGTACGTACAATTCAATTGCCCTTCGGTTTATTTGTAAGTAGTGAGTTTTCCAAAAATTATTCAGTATTTCTATACATCTGGGCGATGTTATTATCTTTTAAAAAAATTTTTATATATTTTTTATATTATATTAATTTAGGAAAATATATTTCAAAAATATATATCAAATATTTGATATTGAAATTAAATTTCAATATAAAATTAAATATTCAATAAATGTTCAGTATCGAAAAACATCTCATTTTATCGAGTTATTAAGCAAGTGTTTAAATCGATATATTAAATTGGTACATTTTTATATTCTCTAAATTTCTTGGAGCAAAAACTGAACAATCTCATTCCAAGAGTCGAATTTTACTCCAAAAGAGTGAGATTCCACTCTTTTGGAATGAGATTGTTCAGTCTTCACTCCAAGAAATTTAGAGAGTATCTGTTTTACAGATATGTCATGGTTAAGACTACTTCTGGCGTGCCTCGGTATTGTCGGCATGTCGGTGTCGTTTACTACAGTCTACCTTTTCTCCGGAGAACTGTTTCCTACAGTCGTAAGGAACATCGGAGTTGGCGCCAGCAGCATGTGCGCTAGAATAGGCTCCATTGTAGCGCCATTTGTGGTATCCTTGGTAAGTCTTTACGTATTAATTAGAGCCAATTAAACGAACTTGAGTAGCATCACTTCGAGTTATAGACAATTACAAGCATGAACCAATTTTGGACTAAACTTTCGAATTAGAAGTATATTTATGAATGCGTCAATTAGTTCCCTAGATTACCAATTGTTGATACTATTACAGAATTACATCGAATCGTGGTTACCGCCAACTATATTCGGGATTTTGCCGTTGGTCGGAGCAGCATTGTGCCTATTATTGCCTGAAACTGCCGGATGTACTTTACCGGACACCCTTCAAGACGGCGAGGAATTTGGAAAGTGAGTATGAAATTTCTTCCCACCCGATAGCCTTTTCGTAAACTTCAAGTATTTAATTTTCATATATGAGCACATGCAGATGAACTGTTGATGACTATTTGATGTACTCAATCAATTTCCACATAAAAAATTTTGTTGTTTCATAAAAGATGCAAATTCAATTGAATAATACGTGGAAATATGTTCTTGAGAATTTTTTCTTCGTTTGTGTTAAATATAAATAACATGAATAAAATGTAACATAGAAATGTTTAAGAAGATATAACCGTTTATATTAAATTTAACTTGATTATAAATGATGAAACACATCGCTTTTTTACGTGCAGGAAGTGTAAGTCGAAAGCAAAACATGGAGATCTCGAAGCAGAGGCGAAATTCTAAAGGAAAAGTAATAGTCATAAGATTTTAAATATTTCGAAACAATATCGAATTATTATTTCGACAAGTTGTGTTGATAAAATAATTCGTTATTGATGAAACAAGCCACATTTACGATCAATCGTGCATATATATTTAGCGTAATTCTATTTATTATATTATTTTCATAAAAATTGACAAAACTATTACGATTGTGTCATCATCTCATCACATTTGTAATTCACATTCCTTATATGATATATAAAAAAATCAAAGCTGACATATTTTATATATAAAATTCTTATATAAAATATTTATATAAAAAATTCTTATATATACAAAGCTGATATTTTTATATTTAGAAATAATAAAAAGTCGTTTTATATATGATATATAATTGTATATCATGCCACGTTTTTCGACAGATTTTCAAGCTCATTTAAAAAATATTAATCAATATATACGTATTGATTAATATATGTATACGCCAAATACAGTAAGTATCTTACAAGAGTTGCCGAATCTAATATATAAATAGAAATTTTTTTTGTAGGGGAAAGACGAATTTCTTTATTTATTAATTAGTTAATTTAGCTTAAGGATATATTTGTCTTCCACTTTCCAAATATTATGAACACGTCAGCTTTATAAACGAATGTCTCTGATATCAGTATTGTCAGCGATTTTCGTTTGACCCCATTACATGTAATATACCATATTATAATGATAGGTACAATTTTACAAAAATGCGTGTATCTCATTATTTTGTAAGTAGCAAATATATTGCATGAAATTGATTTTTCCGGCTTTTTTCTACCGTGTATAATTCTTAGAGATGTTTACAATTGTTTTATAATTGAGCAACACTTTACGCGAGATAACTCCTCTATTCAACTTGCATAAGTAAGCAAATAGCGGATAGCTTAACGATTGTCGTGTTACACGTATACTTTTTCACTCCGGGAATTAAAAATAAGATGTGTGCACAGGTACAATAATAATTATCAACGAGAAAAGAACAAAAATTAACTTTGCCGATATAATAAAATTAAATTAGTAACATGCACTAAAAAAATCTGTCAACTTGACTAAACTTTTCAACTAAATTACTGTTTTGTTAATTAAACATATATAGTATTTAAATCAAATATATGTTTTGTTAGATTTAATATATTATATTTAATTTAAATATTTCTATATGTTCAATTAACAAAATATTTAATTGAATGATTTAGTCAAGTTTACAATTTTTTTTCACCGTAAAGATTAATTTCATGTTCCACATTTTTATATTACGTAATTGAAAAATATATATAATTAAAAATATATGAAGACCTTTAAATAATATATAAGTAGTAATTGAGATAGTATTGAATAAGTTTTTCTATATACACGGATGATTTAAAAAATTGAAATTTTTTTCATCTTTCTACAGTCAATCTTTGTTTGACAAAAATGACAAAAGCTTCTTCCTATTATTAAACAACTATTATTTTATTTTATAATATTTTTTTAAATCTAGGTCAAAATGAATAAAAAAATATATATGCTTTTGTCATTTAATGTTTAAATTTAATTCGTAAAAATAAGAAATTGATTTTCATTGTTTATACTATGTGCATTTTCTTCCGGCATCTACTATATATAGATTTTTAACAAAGACTCGTTAATACTCGTCATACTGGAAGAGAGTATCGGCATATAAAAGCCGGTGACACGGTCTATAACAGACGTCATTCCACTTTACATCCTCCAACGGAAGGCCAGTCTACCAGTTTCAGCAGTGAGTATTTTTTTGCACCACTTAACCACTCTGCGATCTTGTTTTTTGTTTTTAATAAATTTAATAGTAATAAATTTATCCTTGTATCAATAACGCAAATGCATCGACACATTTATTCTACATTAATTATTATTTAGTTAAAAAGAGTAATTCTCTTATTGTGATAAATAATAAATATTTCTATAAAATAACTCTTTATATCTGCAATTATGTATAAATTTATTTTTTATGTACTAATATATATTCGAATTATTTATTTTATTTAATTTTATTATATTTATGTATATGTAAATAATGCCTATAAGTGTGGGAATATCACTTCTACTTTATGTTTAAAAATTTTCAAATATCGATATTATAATTGAAATTTAACTAAATTATATTTTCTAATACTTTGATTGATAATATTTAATATTTAGCTTTTTAATAATTAATTTGTAACTTGTTCTTGATAATACATAGTTTAATTTAAGTAAAATTCGTGGAATAATAAATAATGAATTAAATTTCATCATTTGTTTACACTTGTCAAACTTAGTTTCAGAAGAGTTTATGTTTAAACGCACAAATTCGTCTTTCATCAATATTTTCATCGAAAACTCTGCCACAAAATGAGCTAAGAAATCCGGTTTCTATAAGTAAAAACTTGCTGTAATTTGAATATCTTGCCGAAGGCATATTAACGATGAGACTATTTGGGCATTTCATCACCATACTTGCCATTGACATTGGAATGTTTCAAGGTCGCGAATGGATTGTTTCAATTACATTCTTCGATAATATCTGCAAATTATTTTGTAGATTTACTAAATGCTTAAACAATATTATTAAATAAAATTGCAAATTTTCTATATAACATTATATATAATTGGAACTTATCTAATTAAAATATATAATAAAGAAATTTAATAATAGAATATTAAGAGATGAATATTATATACATATGTTAAAATATTATTGATATACATATTTTTACGTGTTTTATTATATATAACTTGTATATAAATCTTCACACGTTATTTGATTTTCTATCAACTCTTGTTTACTATAATTATTATAATTGCTAATGTATTTTTTTCGTTTACATATTTTTTAAAAATTAGACCAGTTATTCTGGAATGAAGTTATTTTTGTCACGAATAATTTTATTCCCATTATATTTGTAAAAGAATCAGTCAAGGTTATCTCTCACTCCTAAATTATACAATATACTATATACTACATCTAGGAATCTCTTTCAAAGTCATAGTCATTAATCAATTTGAATCATATATACATATACATAATGAAAATTACATAGATAAAGCCGTAAAAGCTTTCAGATTTGTTATGCAACCTATACACATAATACAAAGAGCTATTATTACACTAATAATTTTATTATCCGATTAATTCTATTTTCCGTCTATTTTGTTCGTAATTTGATTAGTTTTGTAACTATGCTACAAAATATATTTTATGCTTTGGAACGTTTTGGAAAATTCATAGAGATGTGTGCACCTTTCTTCAGTAAGTATAAAGAATTGAGGAAAATATGATGTAAAGAGTTGAGAGAGAATTATAATTATCTTTATAAATGCAGAATAATTGATGCAAATAATTCTAAGAACTTGGCAATTTTTGTGTTGAAATGAGCGGAAGGTGAGAAACGCTGAGAAATCAAGGAGATTAGATTTAAAAATGAAAACCGAATCTTTTCACTAAAAGAAATCTACGAAAAATTGTAAGAACTGTCCACGTATCTTTATAATAAAACTGGCTTTCTTTCGAATACGATAATTTTATGCGATATAATTACGGAAATTTGTAAACACAAAAACTTTCACTCATTAAAAATTCAAAAGTTTATTCTAAATGTATAAATTAAATATTATACTAATGTTTACGCGCATTAAAACCAATATATAAATATATATATAAATATCTTAAGATATTTTTATAGGAATTTCTGGGGTCCGCAATAAATCATCCTCATTTACATCTGATGGAAACAATTCTAACTAAATTGGAACCGGTTCTATGTCGAATAATAAAATATGCATATACATACATGTTAAAATAAAAACAAATATTTACACGCATATGAGATTACATCACAAAACAGTCACGTTTCTTACTTTCAGCATTTGTTCATTTTCTAATAAATAATTGTCATTTTTGTCATTAATCATCACATTCTTTATATAAATTGTCTTGCAATGATTGCGAGGGATTTAATTGAAATCTGATTGTGAGTATAGATTATTGTTAACTATTGTATTCAACATTTCTAAGAATGATGATTTCACTTATATTATTGTTTTTTTTGTATAATCAAGTATTATATTTATATAAATATAATACTTGATATATTCAATTTTGCATTTGATAATTAATAGATATAAATTCGAATTTAATAAGATTTGTTTCTTGTTATACATTTTAATTTATTTTAATAGCGTTCCTTATTAATATATTAAGTATATTTTTATACAAAATTGTAATTAAATTAACTATTATTTAATTTTAAATTATTATTATTATTATTATTTAATTTAAAATAATAATAATTATTATTATCATTTAATTTAAAAATTATTAATTATTATTATTATTATTTTATTTTTTTATATTTTTGACACTTCTTTTCTGTGATAATTGACGTCGTACTGTTTAGTAATTATTATTTATCGTTGTATTATCGCATTGAGAGAGATTTTTTCGTAGATTATGTTCCACTTGCTATTCCTGGCCTACCTGGCCACAGCAACCGGCGACACCTTCAATACCGTTTACTCATGGAAGCAGGTCGAATTTAAACTTCCAAACCATACCATCCAAAACGAGTACATCGCTTCCGGCGATTACATTCCGAATAATAACATGCCATTAGGTCTGGCCGTTTGGCACAAAAAATGTTCGTCACAATACCGCGGTGGAAAAGTGGCGTTTTAGCGACTTTAAATAGTTTCTCGATGAACGACGTCGCGCGTAAGTAAACCAAATTTACTAGTAATATTACGAGCCTTTTTTTATGATACGAGGAGTTTATATATGTAGAATTTATTATCTGCGCGTGAAAAAAAAATAAATTTTAAGAAGACGAAGTAATAAGGTAAATGTGTTGAACAATTCCCTTTTACAATCGCAGATAATAAATCTAATAAGAGAATATTTTTTGGAGACAAGTTTTGGAAATAAAAATTTCACGTCAAGTATAAAGAAAAAAATATCCAAAGTATATTTAGATCTTACGATAAAATATATTTCTAATTGATAACCAATTTATATTTAATTTCTGATTATTATATATTTGTATAGAGAACGGAGACAGTCCGATCCTAACACCGTATCCTGATCTCGAGGCAAATAACATTCATTCACCTGATGGCATCGTAAGCATTTTTCGCCTCAGGATCGATGCCTGCGATCGCATGTGGGGACTCGATACAGGAGCAAATGATATTTTGAAAAATTTTACAGTTGTGCGACCGATGACGCTTACTGTTATTGATTTGAAAACGGATAAGGTATAATTTCTCGATGCGCATACTATTATTTAATCATTCTATTAATAATTAAAAATTTATTACATATAATTTAAAATAATTTAATTATTAAATTATTTTTTATTATTAAATAAATAAATATTTAATTTTAATAAATATTTATATATTATTAAATAAAGAAATATTTATTAATAAGTAAATTATTGTCTTAAAATAATTAAAAATATATTACATATAATTATAAGACAATAATTTATTTATGGAGATTGTTAAGAGAATATATTAAAAAAAAATATATATATATATATATATGTACGTCGTCTCAAATTGTGCAGGCTATATTTGATTGCGCTTGTCAAGGCTACCGGCATAAATGCGCCCATAATTATATGTTGCAGATTATTCGCAAGTATGTTTTGAAGGATACAGACGTGAAGCCAAACAGCTTCATCGCCGATCTTGTGGTCGATGTTGCACCTGGACAATGCGATAAAGCCTACGTGTATATGAGTGATTTAAGTGAATATGGTATGGTGGTGTACGACTGGGAAAAGAACGATTCTTGGCGAATTAGTCATCCTTTCTTCCATTTCGATCCACTAAATGGTAATTATATTTTTTAAAATCTTGTGTTTTTTTCATGAGTTTCACGCGATTAAGGAGATGCCAACCATGTCTGTTTACCGACTTTCGGTTCAGGGATTTTTCTTTTTATTGGCTATACAGATTGAAAAATCCTTCTCTACAATTAAAGTACTGATAATAATGGACGAGGAGCGCTGTAATTTCGTATAAGAAAAAACAATAAAAATTAAAAAATTACAGTTTTTTATCGGCTTCTTGCATCAGCTCACAACAATAGTTATTTAATACAAAAGTTCTGCAGTTTATTTGTGCACAAAATGTGACGCTCCCAATAGAGACGACATGAAAGAATAATACAGAAGTAATAAAAATGAGATTAAAAGCCTGCATCAAAAGACTCGTACTTGAATTAATTTGTGAATCTAACCTAACTTAAAGTCGGTAAAACAGAACTACGGCAGCATCCCCTTAAACTTTCTTCTTCAGAGAGAGCAAGATTTTTGTCATCAAAATTTATTTTATCATGTCACATTTATTTTGATTAAATCTTTGCTAATTGTCGACAGGTGATTTTAACGTTAACGGCTATGATTTCCAATGGATTGACGGTATTTTTGGGATGTCTTTGTCACCAATTCGTAAAGATGGATACAGAACTCTCTATTTCCATGCCATGTCCGGTATCACGGAATTTTCCGTGTCTACGGACGTTTTGCAAGATAGCACGTTGAAAAAATCGGAGAACTACCACAATTTTCATATTGTTGGCAATAAGGGACTGTTAACTCAAGGACCATCCTCCGTCATCGATTCGGAGACATGTATCGATTATTTTGCTCAAGTGAATAGAAATGGTATCGCGTGTTGGGATACTACGGTGGAATTAAGTCCGAAAACATTCAGTAAGTATTATTATTTAGTAAGTACACGAAAAATATTATTAGTTTGGCTTGCATTTATGACATTTACTACCATTTCGTCTATTATTATTACTATTATTATTTTATCATGTTTTTTCAAGCAAGAAAATAGAATTTCCCGCATATGATAAGAAGTTTTATTAAACTTTAATTAACCTGCCAAAATTATTCATTTATCTTCTGGTGCATTATAAAGAAACAATTCGCAAATATATGTAAGAGGTCGCAAAAGAATTTAATTTCAATTCGTTTATTCGACAAAATGTCAGAATATTATAGCGATCTATAAAACTGTAGTTCATACATTACATCAGAGATGTCTCTTAAATTCAGGTTTACAAAAGCAGCAGAGAGATATTGAAGTGCTCCGATAAGCGTCGATTTGTAGACAGGAGCATAATAAATGTTAAAAAAATGTTCAAATAAATTATTTTAAATATTAAATTAATAAATAAGTATAATTCGCTAATTAAGCTATTATTAGGAGCACTAAAGTTAACGAAAATTTTCTTTATAATTTAGATTTGGTGGCGCAGGACAATACGACGTTGGTGTTTCCTCAAGATATAGCTGTCGATAATAAATCTCGACAATTATACGTGCTTTCTAATAATTTACAGAAATTTTTATACGGAGATTTTGATCCGATGGCGACAAACTTTTTTATTACTTCGGCTGATCTCGGGACATTAACGTCCCTATGCAAAAATAATGCGGCACAGTAATTAAAGTGAGATGAGCAAAAAACACTTTTGAATCCAATTATATACATATGCATAATATTATAGACTGTACTTTTTATATCGTATAGACTAGTTCTTTTATATCGTATATAAATTAAGGAATATTAATTATATATCAAACAGTTATATACTACTTTTAAACAAATAAATAAATATATGAATGTACAAATAAATAAATGCATGAAACGTATAAATTAGTAAGTGTTAACACATCTATAAAACGCGACTATATAAAGATTTTCCTCGAAAGATTAAACGTTATCTTTTTAATTTATCGTGATTGACACGTCGCGTTCTTTTAATTACACGAATTGAATAAAAGACGAATTCCGATATAGCTTTTCATAAATATGTTTAAAAGACAATGGAAATATCTTTCTAACAAATGAAACAATGATGCATGTTTTATAAACTTGCGATGCTTCTTCTCTCTCCGACAAAGAAGCACGTGTGCATTCTCTCTTTTATTTCTTACATTTTAAATATAAAAAACGTAGAAAAAAAAAAGAAAAACGAGAGCCGGATCCATTATTTCGCAGCTTGCGATAAATAAACGCGGCCCGTTTGAAAATTAATTGCAGGGGGGAAAATATGCAAGTAGATCTCGTTATGTGGAGACGATTTTTCCTCAGCAAAAATGTCAAAGCCATAATTTTTTGCATGTCTCCAATTTTTCATATGTATCGTTATAACTAGACCTTAAATTAAAATTTTATTAAAGTAAGCTCCACTTGAAATTAATTGTAGAATGTGGTTTTGTTAATATTTTATTTCCGCATGACTTAGTTTGTAAAGAAGCCTTTATTTTCAATCGCTTATAATATCTTGAAAATTATTGACGCCTGAATATTTTTCCTGGGGAAAAATCATCTCCAAATAACAAGAAGGGTGTCCAGCAGACCCAATGAAAAAATTCCCTGACTTTTTCAGATTTTCCAAGACCAGAAATTGATTTTTTCGCTAACTTTTTAATATTATTTTTTCCAGAATTTTATATAAGAGTTTCTCTGATTAAAAATATTTGCCACAATAAAAAATATCTATCACAATAAGAGTGGTAAATATTTTTTAATCAGAGAAAAAAAACTCATAAAATTCTTCCAATATCATATTATCCCAAGATTACTACATCAGGGTAAATTTAAAGAGAAAATTTTCGTCGTGCGTCATTAATTTAATTTTCATCGGCATATATTTTTGCAAATTTAATTTTAAACCTCTAGATAATATAAAGTCTCTTACAATGTATAATACATATGTTATATGTCTTTTATAATTATATATAATTCTATTATACACAATTTTAATTTTATATTTCAAGAATAAAAATTAAAAAATCAAACCTTATAATTAATTGCATTTTAAGTGATTTTTATTGAATAAAAAATTTCAAATTATTGAGACAAATGTATAGAATAATGTGAAAAATCCAGATAAATAGTGAAATTTCCTGACTTCACTGACAATTCCAGATTTATAAAATTCCCTGACAATTCCAGATTTATAAAATTTCTTGACAATTCCAGGTTTATAAAATTCCCCGACAATTCCAGATTTATAAAATTTTCTGACAATTCCAGATTATAAAATTCCCCGACAATTCCAGGTTTATAAAATTTCCCGACAATTCCAGATTTATAAATTTCATGACAATTCCAGATTTATAAAATTTTCTGACAATTCCAGATTATAAATTCCCCGACAATTCCAAGTTTATAAATTTCCCGACAATTCCAAGTTTATAAAATTCCCCGACAATTCCAGGTTTATAAAATTCCCCGACAATTCTACATTTATCAAATTTCCTGACAATTCCAGATTATAAAATTCCCCGACAATTCCAGGTTTTAAAATTCCCCGACAATTCCAGATTTATGAAATTGCCTGATAATGCCCGGTTTTCCAGATTTCCCTGGCCGCTAGACACCCTGAAGATCTTGTATATTTTCGACGTGACACCCTGATGTATATACATATATACATATATCGCAAAGAGGAGAGAATTGAAATTTCAACGCGCGTGTCATTTTTAAAATGAGCGTCAGCCACGTTCTTTAGCCAGTCAACCCCTTGATAATTCACGGAACTTTTAACTGCAACCTTTATAACTCCCGCGGTAGCTTCCTCCTTCTCTTCCACCCCGTCAAACCCGTCCAAGGAGCGCTACTTTCTTCCGCCCCCTTTACGACTGGTCTACTCTCTCTTTACGGAGCTGTACATCCTAAATAATTGATCCTAACGTAGTTGCCGGTGTTTTTATAACTGTTTTACCGCCCGCTCTCGCCGCCGTGATATACATTATTTAGCCGTCGGTTTTTAAAGCGAAGTCGCCGGGAGAGTCGCCGCGCGGAGGTGCGAAAAGACCGAGAGGGTCTCCATTCGCGCATCTCTCTTTCTAAGGAATTAAAATGTATGCCGGCTAAATGTCGCCGCCGCCACCGACGTTCAATTAGATCGTCGGATTTCCGCCGACGCCAAGAAGATTAAGAGGGGTGGGAAGGGGTGGGCGGGGAGGGAGGAGTCCCTTCGGTGTTGTGCTTAGATGATTTTTAAATTAGCTGGATAAAGATGAGATGAAAATATGGAGGTTCATCTATTAGATAAGGTAAGATGATTTGGTTTGGAAATATATCTAGATGAGATGAAATGATATGTGGCGATCTTCATCCAGATGACTTCCGGATAATTATTTATTTATTATTGTTACAGGATTATTTTTAAGACTGCTTATGTGAATTTTATTTATTAATTTTTAGCGCTCAAGTTTCTACTAATTAAGTATTTTTATGTGCTATGATTATTCTATGTGATGCATTATTCTAGATAACACTTTTTTCATTTGGAATACAGATATAAATAATACAATAATATATAATTTTATTTATTATTATTTATTATTATTTTATAGGATTATTTTTAAGACTGCTTATGTGAATTTTATTTATAAATTTTTAGCGCTCAAGTTTCTACTAATTAAGCATTTTTATGTGCTATGATTCTATGTGATGCATTATTCTAGATAACACTTTTTCATTTGGGATGCAGATATAAATAATACAAATTTTTATTATCTGTATAAAGAGAAGATGGCTCCAAAATTTCATCTGAATGATTATTCATATAATTTTATTTATTATTATTAATTTATTTATTAATTAATTTATTATTATTATAGGATTTTTTAAGACCGCTTCTGTGAATTTTATTTATAAATTTTTATCGCTCAAGTTTCTACTAATTAAGTATTTTTATGTGCTATGATTCTAAGTGATGCATTATTCTAGATAACATTTTTTCATTTGGGATGCAGATATAAATAATACAATTTTTATTATATACATAATAATCATTATATGTAGATGATCATGCATCTAATTTTATTTAGATAACAGCAAACTCTGCTAAACCCTTGGCGGAATTAAGAAAAGCAATCCTGCTTCTTTTCCACACCCTCGTCCGATTATTCGCAAAATATTCGGTATTCAACGCGAGCAATGGAACTCGCGATAGGTTTTAATAAATCAAATTATTCGCGTATAATGTTATCGATCGCTCCCATCGGGGCTCTCTCCCGCGAATGATTTGTATGTAAACAATGCAATCTCTTTTTAAAACGCGCACAAACGATGTATATTTTCGCTCTCTCTCTCTCTCTCCTCCTCCTCCGACATTTTTTAGCGAGTAACGACTTTCGATGAATTATTCGCGAGTCATGAGAGGACACCCGTATTCGTGCGCGATTCACGTAGCCGTCTGTATAAACAATACGTATATCTCGTCGCCCATTTTACACAGCTACTCGTATCGAAGAGAGCTCGATTCCCATCATCCACCCTTCTCCCCCGAATTTCTGTTCCATCGCTCAAATATTCACGATCTGTCAACTCGTTTGAATTATTCATTCCTCATCCCATCTTTGTTATATCTCATCGATAAGCATAGTCTTTGCTGTTATCAAAAATAAAATTATATAGATGAGCATCTAGATGATACAGAAATATGTATTTTAATTTTGATTTAGTCGTAGCACTTAAAAATACTCTAGTATTTCTATTGAGTAGAAGTTGGACAGTAAGCGAGAAAAACTTAGGAATGAAAATAATTTTTTACCAGGAAATATACATAATTTTTATATCTTTTTTATAATTTACGTTTTTTTATTACTGTATTTTCATAAGCGAGCTTAAAAGTAATATTATCTGAAAGTTATCTAGATAATTAAATTTCAAGTTATAGAGTCACTTAAAATATGTACTTGAGTATTTTATTAAGTAGTAGAACTTGAGCAGTAAGCGACAAAAATTTACAAATCAAAATCATATTATCTGAAAGTTATCTAGATATTTGCCATATAGTTTTTTTAATCCTTTACCTAAATCCAACCAAAATCATCTTCATCTTGTCTAAGATAAATTTTGCACACTTCCTCTCATCTTACGTAGCTAATTTAAAAATCATCCAAAGACGCAACACTGCCGATAAGTCGAAGAGGAACGAATGGATCGCGATGGAGGAGAACCGCTCTCGAGTATCGTTCGCCAAAAACACCTTCGCCCCTTCCTCCTGTGCAAGAATGAAGGTGTAGAATGCAGAATGCAATGTCGTGCTCTCTTGCAGAAAGCACTTTGACACAGCCCCACGGGTACATTACTAGGATTGCCGCCACCAATTGAACTCCCCCAACTCGCCGAGAGGAAGAGAGAGAGAGAGAGAGAAAACCCCGGTACGAACCACCCTTATATCTGCAAACACAGCCGCCCGAGGCGACACCGCCGCTCAAACACTCAATCGCTCGATTCACGACGCTCAAGTAACTTGAAATACTCCATTGTTAACGTTATTTGACTTATACGCATTGATACCGGGCGCTGATCTCCATAATAGGTAATACTCATGAAAGGATTCGCGGCTATTGTTCTGGTTAAGTTTCCAGCGAACTATGATTAAGGCCCCCGACCTCCCGACCCCCCAGATTATATAGATATCCCCGGGATATCTATGTATGTCGCGTGGGAGGAGATTTAGAATGGAATGTTTGATGCACAAGCTAAAAATTTAAATCCCTTAAATTTTCTCCCTTCGTCCAATAAATCGCGAGGAAAAACGCGAAATCTTATACATTTATATATATTACTATTTATATACAATTTTTATACAGGGTTTATTCCAGGGTCTCAGAACTGGCGGAAAAGTTTTTAATGGCAGACTCCTGGTATCATTTGGAGACGATTTTTCCTTAGTGAAAATGTTGAGGGAGGCCATCATTTTTAGCGTGTTTCCAATTTTTGTTATTATGTATCTTTATAACCAAGTCTTATATTAAAATTCTATTAAAGCAAACTCTACCTAAAATTAACTGAAGAATGTAGTTCCGTTAATATTTTATTTCCGCAAGACTTAGTTTCTAAGAAAGCCTTTATTCTCAATTGCTTATAATTCGAAAATTATTGATGTCTCGACATTTTCACTGAGGAAAAATAGTCTCCGAATGATACCAGGAATCTGCCATTAAAAACTTTTCCGCCAGTTCTGGGACACCCTGTATATTACAGCTTACTTGTGTATCCGCGGGGGAGATATAAGTTTCATCTTTATTTACAGAGAGGAAAAATCGATCGTTGTTCGTACGATAATAGTATAATTAATAGAAATGAAAGTGCGTTCGAAGATCGTCCCCCTAATCGAAGTCTGTCTAAAAGTCGCACGTTTCGCACGTACAACAAAGAGTATAATATTG